CTGTGGTGCTGAAGAAGAGTATTGAATGTATGATGGACTGCTAGGAAAGCAAACAGATTCATCCTGGAAAGGGTTAAACTGGGTGGCTTCTTGGAGGCAAGGATTCTGAGGCTCTTTCTAATATACTTTGGACATGTTGTAAGGGGGGACCGGTCCTTAGAGAGGGACATCATGCTTGGGAGAGTGGAGGGACAGCACAAGAGGGGAAGGCCCTCTATGAGGTGGATTGATTCAGTGACTAGGGTAATCAGGGTGGGTGTGTCAGAGACAGTGCATTTGGCACAGGACAGAGCAGAGTTTGGGGCTGTTGTACATAGGGTCGCTATGAGTCACAAGCAACTTGATGGCACATAACAACAACAGCACTCTTATACTTTAGTCATGTTGCCAGAAGGCAACAATTTTTAGAGAAGGACATCATGCTGAGAAGAGTAGAGGGTCCGTGAAGAAGAGGAAGATCCTGAATGAGATGGATTGACACAGTGACTGTAGCAATGGATCAGGTGTGTCAGAGAAGTTGAGGTTGGCTTAAAATAGGACAAGGGTCAGAGGTATTGTTCAATGGATCCTAGTAGTCATGGTTGATTCAGTGACTCATAACAAACAAACACAACAACAAGAACAGCAACAACAACAATATTAATAGGTCTCCTTGTATGCATGTGGATAGTATCTGTTTTTATAATTAGATGTGTTAAGATTGGTAGCACACCAGTTATAAGAAAGAAGTGTCAAGTAAATATTGTCCCAAATGCTTGAACTGCTGTATAAGTCCATGATTTCTGGCATCAATAGCTTCTCCTTGTTCAGTTCTCTTGCTCCTCTATATCCCTTGGATTCAGTAGTTTGCTAGAAAGACTCCCAGAGACTCAGACTCATCAGGGGAATGACTCATGTGACCATACGCAGGCTGGTTTTGCAGAAATTGGTGAACGATGGGCCAGGATCCTATAGACTATCCTTTGTGGTGCAGTTGGGTGGCAACTGTGGGTGATGCATGCTGGATCTTGTATCCAATTCCAGTGTTCCACAAGAGAAAGTAGTTAGCACTGAGTTCTCAAAAACTTATATAAGCCTTTAATAGAGTGAGGCTTGATTCCCATATTAATCCTCTCTTCCTACACAAAGACAACTTTAGGACAAAAATAAACAGGTGATTGGTTAGGAAAGACATCTGAATTATAAATCTTAGGCACTCAGAGTATCCTTTTGCTCACAGCAGTGTACTTTTAAATGACATTTTTACTATGAATGAAGCACTATTCTTGCTCATTTTTTTGTTCCTGGAATAGTTAATCACAGTTGTCTGATTCAGAGTGTCCAAAGGCAGTCCATTACAGCTTGCTAATGCCTAGTATATCAATCATTATGTGTTATATTTTATTTTGAAAATATATATTTTTCCTATATTCATATTTCATACATTCCACATTCCAATTATTAGTGGATGTGTGCAGCTGTGAGGTCTCTACTTCCAGTACTTTATCTGTCTAACTGTGCTTTGTTGATAGAGCTTTTCAAGGCCTATGATTTCAGAAGCCACTGCCCAACCCTTTCTTCTACTTTGTATCTAAATTTGAGAGCTCAACTTTAGTACAACATCTGACAGACAAATGCTGTACACACACAAGAGCAGATGATAAGCAAGCAAACATACATATATAAGCTATTAAAAGGAAGCTCTGGTGGCCTAGTAGTAGAAACTCTGCTCTGATTCTATAGACATATGATTTGAATCCACCAACTGCTCTGTAGGAGAAGGGTGGGCATCTCCTCCTATGTGATTTACTGCTTCAGAAAACATGCTGGAGAGTTAGCTAATAAGTTTGTTACTACTCGGCACAAAACAATAACATATTAGTAAGAGTTGTTGTTGTTATGTGCCTTTGAGTCAAGTACAATTCATAACAACAATATAAAGAACACTGTCATATCTTGTTTTGTCCTCATAATTTCTGACATATTTAAGCTCAAGCTGCCAATTTATCTGATTGAAGGTCTTCCACTCTTTCAGCAACCATCCACCTTTCCAAGCATGATGCCTCTATCCAAGGAATATCCTCTCCTAACAAAAGGATCATTGTATGTGAAATGAAGCTTTGCTATCTTTGTCTTTAAGAAGCATTCTTGCTGAAATTTCTCTAAGAAATTCAGATCTACTTATTCTTGTCAATCAATGGGATATTCAGTACTCTTCTCCAACATCATAGCTCAAAGACACTGATTCTATTGTCATTCTTATTCTTTATCCAGCTCTCAGACATAATTCAAATGATTGAAAAGAACATAGCTTGAATTAGACACACCTTAGTCTTCAAACTAATAATTTGAAGAATTTAAACATTAATTTGGAGAATTCCTGACTGTAGGCTTTCTTATTTCTGGTACCAAAGGTGTTGATTGTGGATCCAAGGAATATGAAATCATTAACAACCTCAATCTTGTCTTCATCTGTCATGATGTTGCTTATTGGTCCAGCAGTGATATTTTTGTCCTGATATTGAGGCATAATCCATATTGAAGGCTGCATTCCTTGACCTTTTGCAACAAGGGCTTCAAGTCCTCACTTTCAGCAAGCAAAGTTGTAACATCTGCATAACTCCAGTTGTCGATGATTCTTCCTCAAATCTGATTCCTCATTCTTCAGAGAATCTAGCTTCTCAAATAATTTGCTCAGCATACAGACTGAAGTTTTTTTCACTGTCCAATATTTTCATCATGATAGATGGAGAAGAGGTTGAAACTATCAACAACTTCATCTTCCTTGAAACCACAATTATAGCACCTTTGGTACCAGCAGTCAGGGAATAAGGAGACTCATTGCACTGGGAATGTCTGCACTTAGAGACCTTTTCAAATTATTAAGGAGTAATGGTGTCAGTTTGAAGTCTAAGGTGTTGTCTGCATGGTCTTTCCGATCACTTACTATGACTCTGAGAACTAGAAAATGAGTAAGGATGACAGAAGTAGAATTGGTACCCTCGAGCTGTGGGGTTGCAAAAGAGCATTGAACACCCCATGGATAGCCAAGAGAACAAACAAATGAGTCTTGGAAAGGGTGCAGCTGGAGTGGTCTTTGGAGACAAGGTGATGAGACTTCTCACATATTTTAGGCATGTTGCTAGGGGGGGCCTATTCCATGGAGAGAGAATGATGCTTGGAAGGGTGGAGGATCTTTCTCTCCTTTCATGGTTACACACATCTTACAAACAAATGTTCTCTTTCTCTGCTAAAGTAGCCCACATGAAACTAGGGAACAACTAGCTCTGCTGGAGCACCTATAGTATGCAGGATCGCACTACAAGCAGAAAGGAAGCTTATCTCTCCCTTGGTTATTGTCATGTCAGACCGAGTTCTTTAAACGTTAACAAAAATCAGGAAAAAAATCCTTGAAAATATATTATCCAAGGGAATGAAAGTGAAATATTGAACACGTGTACAAGCCAGCAACTCAGGTTGGGAGCTCATCTTGAAGTTTATTAAGGGTGTGATGGACTCTGAGGATTTTTCTCTGAGTATTTCCCATGAGATGCTACAGCACAGCAAAAATTTTAAAGTTATCAGGAAGAATATTCTTAAGAAGTGCTTGGAGCTTTTCACTGAACTGGCAGAGGATAAAGAGAACTAAAAATATTTTATGAACTGTTCTCAAAGAACGTTACTGTTGTTGTGTACCATTGAGTTGGAACCAACTCATAGCAGACCTCTTGGTGGGTTTTCAGAGGCAGTTAATTTCACAGGAGGAAATTGCCCATTCTTCTCCTGCAGAGCAGGTCGTGGCCTTGAACCATGAACCTTCAGGATTTCAATGTACCTTCTTGCCAGTAGGCCAACATTAAGTTTGGAAAACACAAAGATTACCCAAACTGGAAGAAACTTTATGAGCTGTTAAGAAATTACACATCTGCTTCAGATGATGAGACTGTGGCCCTCAAGGTTGATTGCACTGTGATGAAACACATCTACTACATCATTGATAAAAACCAAACACCAGGTCACAAACTCCAGAGCACCACTGGAAGCATGGGCTGGAGGTAAGTTACATGACAGAGCCCATCTATAAGCATTGTGTGCAGCAGCTGAAGGAATTTGAGGGGAATATGCTAGTGTCAGTCACCAAAGAGGGCTTGGAGCTTCCTGAAGACGAAGAAGACAAGAAGAAACAGGAAGAGAAAAGAGCCAAAATTTGAGAATCTCTGCAAAATTATGAAAGGCTTGTTGCAGAAAAAGGTTGAAAAGGTGGTGGGGTCCAACCATCTGATAATATCTCTATGTTGCATTTTCACCTGTCATATGGCTGAATGGCAAACATGGAAAGAATCATGAAGGTCTAGGTTCTGAAGGGCAACTTGACAGTGGGCTACTTGGCAACCAAGAAGCACGTAGAGATCAACATTGATCACTCCATTATCAAGATCTTGTGACAGAAGGCTGAGGCAGACAAGAATGACAAGTTTATGAAGGTTCTGTTCCTTTTGCTGTACGAGACCTCATTCCTGTGGTCCAGATTCAGTCCATAGAACCCACAGACAAGTGCCAACAAGATCTACTAGATGATTAAGCTTGCCCTGGGTATTGATGAAGATAACCCCACTGCTGATAACATGAGCACTATGATCACTAAGGAAATGCTGCCCATGGAGGGAGACAACAATATGTCATGCACCCTTTCCTTATTTTAAATTGTGTTCCTTTGTTGTGTTCAGAGAGTTGCTTCTTCCTGTAAATATAGGTTTCATTTGAACAGTCAGGGGTTCTTAGATTTCTATTCTTCTTAATATTAGTAATAATTTGTTATGATCAACACCGTAAAATTCCTCTGCACAAGAAAAACAACAAATATATTATCTGGTATTCTCTGCTTTTAACCACAGTACATCTGAAAATGCAATGATATCCCTTGGGCCAGGACACTTCTAAATCCAGATTTAATTTCTGGAATTTCCCTGTTGATGTGCTATTGCAGCCATTTAAAAAATCTTTAGCAAGATATTACTTGTATGTGATAATAGTAATATTGTTTGATTAGTTCCACAAATTTGTTCTGTTGCTGGATCACCTATCTTGGGAAAAAATATTAATCTCTTCCAGTCACTTGACCTTGTGGCTGTCTTCCATACTTATTGATAGAGATGGGTGGACACATCTGTTTCCTGAAGCATCACAATTGTTATTCCATCAGTTCCTGGAGTTCTGTTTTTTGCCAATGCCTGTGATACATCTTGAACTTCATTCAGCATTATTGGTTCTTGATTGTATACTACTTCTTAAAGTGTTTCTGCGTTGACTGATTCTATTTAGTACTTTGACTTTGTGTATTCTTCCATCTTCTTTTATGCTTCCTGCATCATTCAAAATTGTGTCCATATAGTCCATAAGTGTTGTAGCTGGAGGCTTGAATTTAGTCTTCAATTCTTCCAGCTTGAGAGATACTGTGAGGAAACCCTTTTGGTTTTTTAACTCTACCTCCTTGAGCATATCATTATAATAGTTCGTTTTGTTTCTTGAGCTGCCTTTTGAAATCTTCTCTTCAGATCTTTTATCTTGGCCTTCTTTCATCTTGTTTTTTCTCCAATGCAAGAGTCTCTTCTGACATCTATTTTGATAATTTCTTTTTCCCTGTCTTTGTGATGACCTTTTGCTTTCTTTATGGATGATATCCATAATGTCATGCTATAACTTTCTTGTCTTCAGTCATTAGTTTTTAATGAATTAAATAAATTCTTAAGATGGTTTTAGAATTCATTTGGAATACACTCAAAGTCATATTTAGCTGTTTTGAACTTGTTTAATTTAAACTTCAATTTTAACTTATTTATGAATAGTTGATGATCTGTTTCACAGTCAGCCTCTATCCTGGTTTTGATTACTGATACTGAGATTTTTCTTTGCCTTTTTTCACAGATGTCATCAAACCTGTGAAGTTCATCAAATGATGTAAATTTGTATAATGGCCATTTAAGTTGTTTTAAAAATGTATTTTAAATTAATAAATCATTCATTGTACATAATTCTATCCTTGAATCTCCAGCTTTATTTCTGTCACCAATGCTATATTTTTAAAAAATGCAGCCTTTGATATGGATAGTATCTCAATCTCAAGAAAACAAAAGTTTTTACCACTGGCCCAATAGACAACATCATGATAGATAGAGAAAAGATTGAAGCTGTCAACAACTTCACTACTTGGATCCACAATCAACACCCTTGGTACCAGCAGTCAGGAAATCAGGAGATGTATCACACTGGAAAAGTCTGCAATTAGAAACTTGGGTTGTTTTTTGTTTCCTTAATAATCATGTGTAAGCTGATTGGTCACCTAGATTTAGTCAACAATCAGGTGTGTGCTGGAAACCACTTGGTTAAGTCAATCAAGTTGATTGGGCCCTTGGGCCTATTGTTAATTGTGTTTGTGAAGAACATTGTTCTAAGTGTTATAGCACTTGTCTGTCAGTTTGCTGTACTGAGATAACTTGGGGTTGCTGTGACACTGAACACTGTGCCACTAGACGGTCAAATGCCATAATAGTTATCCATGGAGGACAGGGTTTGGTAGATCTCCATGATTAAGAGAGGTTGCGAAGCAAGATTGGCATCCACTTCTTAAATAGCAAGCCTTTAGAAACTCTATGAACATTAGAGAAATGATGATAGTTATAGAACAGTGTTCCTAACTTTTGATCGATGGATTGCTGTAAATTGTACTTGACTTGGTGGCACTTAACCAAAACAACAACCACAGTGATGTCAGTTTGAGGATAAAGATGTGTCTGACTCAGGACATGGTCATTCTGATCACTTGTTATGAATCTGAGAGCTGGACAATGAATAAGGATGAAATAATTGATGCCTTTGAGTTGTGGTGTTGGAGAAAAGTACCAAACATCCAATGGACTGACAAAAGGACAAACAAATGTATCTTGGAGAGGGTGCAACTACATTGCTCTTTGGAGACAAAGATGAAAAAGCTTCACCTCATATATTTTGGGCGTGTTGTTAGGAGGGGCTAGTCCTTAGAGAGGGACATGATGTTCAGAAAGGCAGAGGGTCAGAAAAGGAGAGGAAGACCCTCAACCAAATGGATTGATACATTGACTTCCATAACGGACTCTAGTGTGTCAGGAAGTGTGAGGATGGTACAGGATAGGTGAGGGTTCAGATCTGGCATTCATAGGATTCTATGGGTTTTACTCTACTTAATAGCACCTAATAACAACAACTTCTTTGTCAAAGGTTTTATCTTACTTGGATCCAATCAACATCCTTGATGTTACAGCAGTCAGGAAATCTGGAGATAGATTGCATTGCACAAATCCGCCATAAGGGACCTCTGTAAATTACTGAAGAGAGTGGGGTCAGTTTGAAGACTAAGGTGCACTAAGACTAAGGCAATGTTCTTTTCAAATACTTGCTATACATCTGAGAGCTGGACAATACATAAGTATGACAGAAGAAGAATTGATGCCTTTGAGCTATGGTGTTGGAGAAGAGCACTGAATATGAACCAACAAAAGAACAAAGAGATACGTCTTAGAAAAAGTACAACCAGAGTGTTCCTTGAAGGCAAGAATGACGATGCTTCATCTCACATATTTTGACCATGTTGCTAGGAAAGGCTATTCCTTGGAGAGGGACATAATGCTTGGAAAGGTGGAAGTTTGGCCAAAAAGAGGATGACCCTTACAAGATGGATTGACTTATAATTGCAACAGTAGGCTAGTGTGTCACTCTAGTGTGTCAGAGATGATAAGGATGGCACAGGAAAGAACAAAGTTCATGTCTGTTGTTCATAGGGTCAGTATGAGCTGAATTAGACTGGATGATACCTAGCAACAACAACTTATTTGTTTCCAACTTTTGTATTCTAGTTATCAATTATCATTAATGCATCTTGATTACATATTCAATAAGTTAAAGACTACCAAAGTTGGTAGAGACCCTCAATTTCATCATCTCTAACCTGTGTTGTTGTTATTGTATATTCAAATACTAGCCTTGTTAACTGAAATTTATTTACTAGTATTATGAGTATAGTAATAACCCATCACTTACAGTATTGTACTTCAGAATGGAGCTTGGAATGTTCCTTTTGACAACGAATACCACATTACATTTCTTCAATTTTTCAGGCCTGTTTTTAATTGTTTTTGTTCAAACATTCTTCCAGGTCATATAGCCCTGGTATGTCTACTTGCTGTACAGAGATAACTCAGGGTTGCTGTGATGCTGAACACTTGTGTCACTGATGTATCACATGTGATAATGGTTACCCATGGTGGATAGTGTTTGGTGGAGCTCCCTAATTAAAACAAGCTTGGAAGCAGGAGTGGCATCCACTTCTGAAATAGCTTGCCTTCAGAAAGTCTATGAACCTAGAGAAAGGATGAAAGTTATACAAATGTTTAGGTCTTTCATTCATAGAGTTTCTATGAGTCACCTATGACTTGATGACACTTAACAACAACAACAACAACAACAATATAGTAGGTCACATGATTGATTAAAAATGGCGAATACCAGTCCATTTCAACTCACTATTGCCTTGGATGTCAGTCTTTATGTTTTCTATTTTTTCCCCTTCAGTTATTTATCAGGGTTTGTAAATTTTATTAATTCTTTAAAGATCAGTTTCTAGTCTTATTAATTCTTTCTATTATTTTTCT